CAAAGTTTCTCGAACCTATCCGCGACCATGAGTGCCTGATGATGACGTCTACTCGTGAAAGACGCAGTCCACGCTCATCGCATGGGCGGAGGGTGAGGGGAAACAGTGTTCCCCCATTGGAGCAGCCCTCCCCTGTGCAGCCTATGAAGGAGAGAGGCGTCCGATAGAAAGATGAAATGGATCTCCTTTGCCGCCTATACGATCAGAATGGGGCTAACCTTTAATTTCTGACAGTACCTTATCAGGACCCTTCCGTTATCTCACAGTAACAACGTCTGTATATAGTGGAACGTTCTCCAAAACTCTGGCAGTTTTTATAGTAGCAGCGCTGGCGACCTTATAAGTCGGAGGCGGCTTATACCTCGCTGCTCCCAAAAAGGCGCGCTAATCGTTTAAGCGAGCTTCTGCTTCAGTAACTTATGCTTGAATTAACAACTTGAATGATCTTATTAGGTTCGGTATTTATGCTGATTTCATGCTCTTACAGGCTCCACGATTTGCTCCACGAGAAGCTCCACAGGAAGCTCCACGACCGCCTCCTCGTCTGACTCTTCCACGAGATGTTCCACCACCAACAATTGAAGAAGTACCTGAATATAATGAACAAAACGTCCGAAAAGTACAAATTAAACTGCTCCCAACGCCGCAAAAAGTACGGCTCCAACCTCTAAGTGGATTAGGTAGCCTTGTTGGCTGCTCATTTCTTTCGGTCATTCGGCTGGAAACGACTTTTTTCGCTTTTGTACGGAACCTTTCCATCGTTGAGATCAACTGTTAAGATAACTATGTCCAATAAGGAGAATTTACCGAAGTTTTCCAGCGAGAAGACTGGCAACTGACTACTTTTTGTACCGTGGGAAGCGAAAGAAGGATGAGAATGAGAACATAAGCGAAAGACCGCAAGATGTGAGCTGGAATGTACAGCCTATATCTGAGGGCAAAAGAGGCGTTTCAAGTACGTAGTTGGTACCACAGTCACGGCTGTGAGGGTGCAGACGTAAAAGTGGTGCAGATCTATGTAGTATGTATGACAAGGTGGAGTCGGTACAGTCGTCGCCGTGCACGCAACTCCGTATTTGGAAATGTCCTTTCTGCTCTCAGTTATCGACTGTAAGGCCGCATGCGGAACTCGCGATGACGAGCGTCGTAGCGCGTCGTAGCGCCTCGTGGCTCTCCATCGCAAGTCCGAACGCAGCCTGTGCTTGCAATGGCATTTGCTTTTTACAACAGGGGAACTTTAATAACACAATGGAATTTCTTGTGCAACACCATTTCTTATGTGGCGCGAAAGTGAGTGAAATCTACTGCTACGTTATTTGTGAGGAAATTGTTTTGCTGCAACTGTAGCCCTCATGCTCAAAACTTCACCATAAAAAGTGGCCTCCCAACAACGAATATCTGATGGAAGTTGCTCGTTTGCGAAACTTCAAAATTAAAAGAAGACACGATCTAGCCTAAGGCGGGGAGATGAAGGTTGCCCTGTCTTTTCAACGCACGCACCGTTTAGGTCGTTGTGTAGCGCCGCCACGTTCGTTCGGACGCTAGTGAAACGTTGAGTCCACTTAAGCTGTCATACCTCAGGTTGTGAGTTGGGTCGAATGGAGTCATGTTCTTCAATGGTATGTACACCACAAGCGGATTTCAACTATTGATTGTTGCGTAATGCTGCATTCATACTTTGCTGCAGCGTCCAACAGCGCCCACGAGCGTCTATGAGCGTCCACTAGCGTTCCGAGCTTCCGGTAGCGTCAGTGACTAGGAAAGTAGGGATATTGATACTTAACGTCTGACGCCAGCGTCCTCTACCGGGAATTACTGAGCAAGGGAGGTACGAGTGTAGGCAAACAGCTGGATTAGGCTATCGAGAAATAGCAGGCGTGTGCAACCAGCACGTAACCAATTACACTGCACCGTACATTAAATTGCACAATTCTTATGTTATAGCAGTTGTGTAGTGAGACTGCACATGCCGCAATTTCACGATGCCCAATCCAGCTGTTTGCTGCCCTCCTACATTCCGCCATCCTCTCCTCACCCGGATCGCTGGTGAACTGCGGTGAAGCTAATAGACGACTGCAGGCCAGCTAAGATCAATTCTATAACTTTGCTATTCGCATGACAACTTGCCGGACGATCGAACATAGTGGACGCTGGCAGACGCTGGTGGGCGCTACGGCAAAGTATGGACGCAGGGTAGATCGCTTTTTAAATACTTACAGTTCGGTTGGGCTAAAGTGCGGAAGCAGATCATCTAACATTAGGCTTTTCTAGACCGTTTAACATAGTTTCCTTTCCAGCACATCGTTGGTATTAGAGATGGTCCCAATGCGTCTGCGGAGCCGTTCCATATCAAAGTAAGACTTTTGCAAAACTTTACAATTACAGCACCTCGAAATACAGTGTTTGCCGAAACAGTGGATGACCAGAGGATTTTTCTAAATATTCAGGTAAAATGCAAGACTCCGGGGCTTATATCAGAACTTAAAATTCGAACTTGGAGGAGGGGAGCTTGTATCAGAACTTAAAAAATGATCTGGGAGAAACCAAGTTTTTGAGTCCCAAAAGAGTTTGCGTCCTTGTAGAGCCTCACGACATCGATACCCATAACTAATGTGAAGTAAGAGTGGGAAGGTTATTCGACCCATTCTAGAACGCTGCTTTTGAAGACCCGAAGAACATCGTCAATGCCGAGATGTATGTGTCTGATGCACTTGAATACCTCGGCAATCAAGAGGTGAGGGCTTGCAGCCGAGAATGCCGCTATCGATAATTTGCTGTAGGATAGTTTCTTCAGTTGGCTTCTTCAGTTGAGAATCAGTTTCATTTCTGTGTTTCGAGTACTTACACTCTGTTTCCCACATGTTCCCATGTAGGAAGCAGAAGAGAAACGCGTTATATCCCACTTCTTGGTTCATAAATAATGCCCTTTGTTCTCCGCCACTACATGCGACACAGTTAGGAAGTAAAGGAAAAGTTTAGCTTGCCATTGAATCCAACCCATACTCAGGCCCACCATACATAGATGTAGTTGAGGGCAAGTCTACCATTGCACCTCCCTAATCAGCGCAAACTTCCGCTTTACTCTCTCACAAAGACGCAGTCATGAACAGGGCACTATAGTAGGAACGGCCGCGCTCATACAACCAGCATGGGATGTGCCTTGAAGCCCATTCATCTAAGTTCGCTTTCGGAAGTTATTCACAAGTCTGTGCATCTTTTGACCTTGTCCCCTCTGTTTAGGCACACTCGCCCACTGGAGCGTTCGTGATGGAGGAGGATATGCTTAGCAGTCACGGTAGTCAGAGGCGACCAGAGGTGAAACCCTACTAATCAACTTCTTTCTATACAGTCATGTTCGCTACGGATGATGGGGCGTGGCAGTGAAGCTGGGTTTGGTCTTGGTCAGTCTGTTTTCCAAAAGCTGTTGAAGCTGGTAAGCGACAGCAATTGGTGGAAAACGGATGGCACGAACGATATGACACAGTCCTGCCACTTGCCAAAAGAAAAAAAAGGGCTGGCGGGTAGGAAAACTCAAACCTTCACCCCATCATTTGCAGCGAACAAATCTACAAATGCCAGTGTAATGTAAAGTGAGACTGGGAAGGTTATCGTCACAATAACAGCTCAAAACTTGTAAAAAGCCTTCAGCCTTGCGATTCACTGCCAATATCGGCTAACCGGCGTAATAGGGAACGCAACTGCCCGGTAAGCAGAAGATGCGGGTTCGAGTCCCGTCCGTGGTCCGACTTTTGCCCACAACTCAGCATTCTTGTGATAGCTTTCGTATCGCGCACTGCTGCGTA